TGGCCTCTCCCGTGGCGGAGCACAGGCTCCGGACGCGCAGGCTCAGCGGCCGTGGCTCACGGGCCCAGCCGCTCCGCGGCATGTGGGATCTTCCCGGACCGGGGCACGAACCCGCGTCCCCTGCATCGGCAGGCGGACTCTCAACCACTGCGCCACCAGGGAAGCCCCATTGTTTTTTTTTTAAGACATAATGTCACTGCACATTCGACAGACTACAGTCTAATGTAAACATGACTTTTACATACACCGGGAAACCAAAAAATTCATGTGACTTGCTTTTACTGGGGTGGCCTGGAACCGAACCCGCAATCTCTCTGAGGTGTGCTTGTCCTATCAATTAGGTAAATACACATAGGAATTCTGGTTAGTTAACCTCTTTCAACCCAAGAGATTAGGCACGAACAAAAAAAGAACATGTAGTGTTGGGTGGGTAACCAGAACTCCCGGGGAGGATAAAGCCAAAATCAGAAGCAATATGGCAGCATCCCGTAAGACCAACCATTTGTGTATCGTACACAACCTGGCCATTCTCCCAGAAGGACACAAATATAACAGAATATTCACGGTTGTTGACTGTGATTGAAGTGTGTGTGTGTGTGTGTGTATGTGTGTATGTATGCATGTGTGTGTGTGCATGTGTGTGTGTTGTATATGTGTGTATGTGTGTGTGATGTGGGTCTTTGTCCTGTAAGGTTGGAAGGGTGACTGTAAATTAAAGATAAAAGCCCTGGTGGAAACAAAGGAAGAGACTTCTCTTCCCTCGTCCTTTGCTTCCAGAAGATCTTACTCTGTCCTTTTCCAAGGTGGGTAAATATTTTTAATGGCTAAAGGAGCCTGTTTTGACAACCTGTATAGAACGGGTGACATTTACCTAGCTACTTTTAAAAGTGCGTCTTCGCAGCCTTAGTGGGTCACCTGTGATGCATGTCACACCCTGACGTCATGCTCACTCAATCATAAAATGGGTTTCTTTCCCTTCTACCTTGGCAGAGAGGCTTTCTGGGTTGATGTTGGGTTGAATTCTAATTCCCCAACAACACCTTCCCTGTTCCACCAAAGATGCTCAGAGGTAAACACTACCGCCACGAAGGGACTGCCGTGACTTGTATCATGAAACCCGTGTTGATAACGGTGCTTGCGGGTAGTTCATTTTCAAGTCTGTGTCATCCTCCGAGGGTTAGAAGACACCCCTCTGTCTGCAGAAAACCCTTCCAAAACCACTGTATCCCCCCAAAAGGACTTTCGGAGATCTGTAAACACACACTCCATCGTTAACCCTAAGAACTGGCAAAGGAGATCAAAGAGCAATCTCCACTGATTTACATGGGACGGACACCCGGGTGTCAGAACAAACCACATGGGGACTCAGTGAGATGTCTTGTGCCAGATGTGTCTCCCCAACTGCCACCAGGGCTGGGCGTCCTCCAACAGCTGGGTGTCTGAAGGGTTCTGTGGAAAGCCAGGACGCTGAATGAGTTGGCACCTCACCCCAAGACCATCTCCGTCTTCTTTCTAACCCCGTCTGTAAGTCATACACAGCATGGGATTCTTTTCTCCCTAAAAGAAGCCACCGTGATTGGAAAATCTCAGTAGGGACAAACACATGGGCTCCATGTGTGTGGTAGTCAGTCTCCTTTGGGAGGAAAACCTCAGCTGGAAAAAATTCCACATTTCATCCGTGAAAGCCCTGCCTCCTACACGTCGGATGGATATAACTACTCGACCACCTGCATTCTTTTTCCGAACAATTAACATATCACCCAGATGAAGAAAAGTGCATCTCCCCCCATGAAGAACCCCCCCCAAAATCAAGTATTTTAATATCTCCAGATGGAAAAAAAAAAGGGGGGGGTTGAACCATCATAAACTGAGAATGAAGAAAAAGCCAAAGCCCTAAAGGAAATAACACGCAATTAACTTTTTATCAGAGCCGAACATGCAGGCAGGACAATGAAACTCACTTTCTCTGTGTGGCAGGCAGAAACAGGAATAGTCGGACGGGAAGCCGGAGAAGCCACACCTGCTTGGGTGGGGATGATGAGGGAATCCCCGGAAACCCATCAGTTGCCCAGGAAGTGTCGCTTTCCCTATAGGCGTTTCTGGATTTTTGAACGGCACTGGCTACTGTGCAGAGGCTGGCATGGAGCGTGGGGTCCTGGATTCAGCACCTTCCTGGACCCATTTCCCACCCGGTCCGCACTTAGGTCGCCCAGGTGCCAGGAGTTCTAAAGCCCGGGATGTGAGTGTCCTACCTGGAGGAAGACTACGGAAACCAAACCCCAGCCACCAGCAACCTGGAACATGTGACGCAAATTCCTGGGTGTCTCAGCCTCAGCACGACTGACATCGGGGCTGGGTGACTCTAATACGGGGCGTCCTGGGCACTGCGGGCTGTGGACCAGCATCCCTGGTCTCCACCTGCCACATGCCAGGAGCACGCCCCCTACAGTTGAGACAATCACAGACATTTCCAGACATGGCCAAGTGTCCCTGGTGGCGGGAGGAAGCAGTGCTCTATTGAAAGCCGAAGCTGCCTCTTGCCTTCTAGGGCCCCTGCGTCTCTCCACCCCACACTGTCCCACGGGGATTTCCAGAAAAACCTGGGAACACAAGAGCCCTGGGTCCCAAGGCCTCGGAAACCAGGCCAGTGCTATCTGCACCCCGATGAAGATCTACCCCTGACTCAATGGACTTCTGTAGCCAGAATGGAACCGAAGCCAAACCCCGATTTCTAGAGGGAAGTGTGTTCTGAACTTCAGCAACTCGAAAGCAACCTTTCCTGATAAAACCCCATTTGTATCTTAGGAACGGTCCGTTCCCTGCCTCTGACCCCAGAAGGATCAGGCAGGAGAGGGGGAGGCGCCCTCCAAGAGATCAGCACGTATCAAGGCTCTGTTCTCCCTCTGCTCTTTCGGGGCGAGACTGGCTCTCCACTCCCCCGCTGCTCTGTGCCCCCCTCCCATCCCCCTGCCATCTGCTGGCTGAAAGCATCAACCAACCCCGAGTAGCTGGGAGCAACCTGCATAGAAATCGGGCAATTCTAGGCTAACGGTGCTCTGGGTTTCTTCTAAAAATTACACATTTTATATACAGGGTAGAATATAACCTGTATGTGAAACCTGTTAAAAAACAAACAAAAAACAACTGTCACCAGAGACAGCTTCCAACTCAGCCAAACCCTCACACTGGCCAAGGCTGTGTTCCCCACCCCTGAGTTCTTGAACTGTGGGACTGTCACCATTCTTCGGCCCTGTGTCCTATCTGCCTGATGAGATGTTTCCCTTCCCCCAGCAGATGGCACCTTCTTGGGCGACCAGAACCCCTTGTGATCCATCTCCCTGGGGCGAGGCACACAGTTAAGGGCTCAGAGGGCAATTAACTCACAAAACATGAATGAAGGTGTAGCCAAGGGGGATGCATGAAAAATTCTTGTGAGCAGGTGTGACAACCACACAGCAGGAAAAAAAAAAAAAAAAAAAACTAATGAAGAACTCTGTGGTGAGGCAGCTAGGTGGGATTTAGGGCAGGAAACAGAGAAACAGGAAACCCATCCCAGGCCCTCCCCAACAAGCTGTAAACTATTCCAAGAGTTCCCCATGGATCAGGCTGAATTTGTTCTAAAGCCTGCAACGAACACACAACTTCTAGAATACGTGGCACACATTTTAAAAATGCAGACATCGATTAGCAAATCCTCCCTAAAATAAAACTCAGGCGGGGGACCAGGGCTCAACATTCAACCTCTAGCGCTGAGCTGGAAATTTCCAGGTAAACACCGGGCCTTCTCTGTCCTGTGTCTGGTTCCTAAAACGTGTCCTCCACCGACCAGACCACTCCTGAAAAGACACTGCCCTAGGCTGTCCACTTAAAAATAACCACATAAGGACAGAAAACAACCGTTAGTCGGAGAAACCCGTTTTTTATGCCACGCCCAGCAGGATCCCAACTTTCCTTTTAAAAGAAGAGAGAGACAGGAAAACTGGATCTCAACTTCCATTTTAAAAGGAGAAAGACAGAAAAACGCAGGCAAGAACCAGAAACAGGCCACGTTGGCTGGGGAATGTGGGCGTCCCGGGCGTCCTGTCCTTCTCCTGACACTTTTTTGGGTGCGGTTTTCCGAATTATCTACTCGGACACACGGACGATCGGCTGAGAACACGTGTCCCTTGGCGGCGTCGTTCTGCACCCGACCGCGCGCTCGCCAAAAGTCCCCGCGGCCCGGACACCGCAAGAGCTGCTGAGCGTTTCTAGAACCCCGAGTTTTTCCTGGCTTCCTCCCCCTTTCCCGGGTTTCAGGCTCCCCGGCCGAGTCCAAATTTAGTCCCGGGCCGCAGGGCGCGGCGCCCGGAGGCGGCCACCGAGCGCCTGAACAAAGACGCGGTCCCCGGGCCCTGCCAGCGCTCTGGCCGGGGCGCGGGGCGGCCGCAGAGGCGCACACCCGCGCCCTGGAACTGAAGGGAACCCCGGGGGGAGGAGGAGGGGGAGGGGACTCGGGGGCCACCGCCCCACCCAGGGGCCTCCCAACTTTTAAGAGTCTGTGAATGTGAAAACAAACGCTGACATTCCGCCTGCGGAGTGAGTCCAAAGGCGCCCGGGAAGAAAGCGGGGAGGAAAGGGTAAGGCCGCCTCCTTGGGGCGTTGGCCACCCGTTGGCACAGCGGGTCCCGCTAGGCGGGAAGGACGGCTCGGGGCTTCCCGGCGCGTCGCCCTCCACGCGCCAGCCCCCCCCACACACAGTGCGCCCCCAAAATACGTCCCTCGCCATGCGTCTCCCAAGGTGTGTAGGCCCCGCACAGCGCGCCCCCGAGGTGCATGCTTTCCCAGTGCGCCCCCCAAACTGCGTGTCCTACTCACTATGCCTCCCGAAGTATGTCCACCCCACACGGAGCGTCCGTCCCCCAAGGTTCGACCCCCTCCCGCGGCCCTTCCCTGGGGCCCCGACGCGGGTCCCCAAGCCAGGCCCGCGCCCCCGTGAGCCCCACCGGCCGCCGCTCACTCACCCCGGGTGGGCACCTGGGTGCCAAGCAGGCCGAACAGCAGCAGCGCGAGGGCCGCCCGGCGCGCCATGGTGCGCCCCACGACGCACAGTGTCTGTCCCGGGAGTGGCGCGCGGACGGCGGCGGCGGGAGGGACACCCCCGGGGCGGGGCCGGGTCAGGGTGCAGCGCGGTCGCCCCGCCCCGGCCTCAGCCCTCCCCGCTGGCGGCCGCCCCACCCCTGGGCCACAGGGAGCCGCAGGGGCAGGGCACGCGCTCGGGAGGCGGGGCGAGGCCAGTCTCTCCTGCTCCCAAAGTGGAGGGCCGGGTCTCCACCCTCCCACCCCTCTTTAACGGGGACCCCCCGGGGGGCCTCTCTAGACAATGGAGTGAAGCCCCAGCTCCGGGGTCTGCTAAGAGTGGACCCCCTGCCTCGGGTGCAACAGCCCGCGGTTCCCAAAGTCCAGTCTGGAGTAGCAGAGCGCAGAGCACGGGTAGGGGTTTTGGGGCGCAGGGCCGCCCTTACTTCCCAGCCTGACCAAGGACCTCCTTTGCAGGAGCCTCCGCGCTCCGGAAGCGTCTCCCCGCCGAGCCGGAGGTGGGGAGGGGTGGGGCATGTCTCCCCTCCCCCATCCGAGGCAGCTGGCGCCCAGGTTGGGGGGGGAGGGGCATCTCTGGCGACAGTCACAAGCCACAGCTGCAATGTGGGTGCCCTTCCCTGTCCCGGGCTTACAATATTTTTTAAATTAAGGTATTAGCTTAAAATTCTACCCGTGTTCCTTCAGGACACTGGAACGAAGGTGTCAGACAGAAATAGCCCTGAGTCACATTCCGGGATTCTACCCTCCCGACCCTACCCATCCAGGGCCAGGTCTTACCCATCACACCCCTCCGGTTCCCGGGATGACTCAGGGCCCCTCCTCCCTGCCCTCCTGACACCTGTTCTTCCGCCGCCATCTGCCGCCATACACAACGGACACGTGTACCCACTGGGTCAGACACACATCTGGCCAGAGGTGCCTGGACCCACACCCCAGGGCCCCCAGACTGCTTATCTTACAAGACCAGCAGTCTGAACAAACACACCTGGACCCAGGGAGAAGGTGGTTCTTTTTCTCGGCCAACTGAAACCCCAACACATGATAGTAGTCTACAGGCAGGAAGGTAACGTAACCATTTTCGGGGGAAAACAAAAACCAAAAAACCTGTCTTTGAAGTGTCCCTTCTTGTAGCTAACCTGGGTTGACCACTCAGCCAGAGAGCCCCATACCTCCAGGGAAATTTCTCTCTATATGTTTTTCTACCCCTCGCTTTTCAGCCTTGACTCTGCCAATTACCACTTTCCCTTTCCCAGACCACAGTCTTAGGGCCAATAAAGGATATTTGGACCCCGGTCAGTCGTAAACAAGAGGACATCCAGGGCACTTCTGAGGGAGGAAGGGGATGTTGGAGCTGCTGCAGCCATTTTGCCACCTTGAGGTAAGTCAACCTCTGAAAGAAGCATAGATAAAGAAACCATGTGCTTCCTGCCAAGGTCAAATTCCAAAGACCCTTCCCTGGGAACTTTTCAGCTCACCCCAATTACCTTCAAAAGAAAGGCCCTACCTGGCAAATCTCCAACCTCTGACAATTGAGCTGTACCACGGCTGACACTTTTCTCTTTTTAGAAGCTTCTGGAGGCTGTGTGCATTTGGTCACTGAGGGGCTGAGTCCCCATCATCAACCATAACCTTAGGCACCATTGCTCTCTGAATGCCAGGGCTGGAGGTTTTATATTTATGTCCCTACAGAGAGGCATTCTGAAGGCTTCTGTAATTTATTAAGATGACTTTTGGCCGCTTCTCTCTTTTTTTTGTTAAGTGCTGCCTTCCTTAGTTCAAAATAAAAATTTCCATAACATCACACAGATGCTTTGGCTTCAAAAAGCTCTAACTTCCAGAATGAAAATTAAATTACTTGAAAAAGCTTCCTCACTTGTATCCAAACACCACAGAACCCATGTGAAGTCCCTAAGCTGGACTGGGAGCTGGATGGAACGCATTTGGGAACAGGCTTCTTGCTCCGAGTGGGGAACCCAGGGGAGTCATCAGTTAGATGCATTAAACTGTAACGTGCTCAATACATAATGAACTTGGAACCTGCCTTCACTGATCACTTTAATTGTTGCTACCAAAAAAAAAACACCCAGAAAACAAAAAGCCTCACACGCTCCCCAAGCATCACAGAGCCTAAACTGTTAGATGTTTGCCACAGTTATTTTTCAGGAACTTGGGTTCAGCTGTGTCCAGTTTGAGCTCAAGCCGGGTAAGACTGGTCAACACCACAGACCGTCCAACTGGGCATTTCTGAGAGTCCACTTGATGACATTTTCACATCCCAGGGCCAAAAACTCAACCTTCAGAACAAGCTAATGCCAACATTTTCTGAACAATGGTCCCATGAAGAAGCCTGGACCTTAGCTGCACCTTCTCAGAGTGACGATCAACTCACTTTTTTCTTTTTTTTTTTTTAAATTTTTTTTAATTGAAGTATAGTCTCTGCTGTACAGCAAAGTGACTCAGTTACACATAAATAGATACACACACACACGTACAATCTTTTTTTTAGATTCTTTTCCGTGATGGTTTATCACAGGACAGTGAATATAGTTCCCTGTGCTCTGCGGTAGGACCTTGTTGTTTATCCATCCTATTAGTTTGCATCTGCTAACCCCAAACTCCCACTCCATCCCTCCCCCACCCCCCTCCCCCTTGGCAACCACAAGTCTGTTCTCTATGTCTGTGAGTCTATTTCTGTTTTGTAGATAAGTTCTTTTGTGTTTTAGAACACATAATTTAAGATTCCACATATAAGTGACATCATACGGTATGTGTCTTTCTCTGACTTACTTCACTTGGTATGATCATCTCTAGGTCCATCTGTGTTGCCGTAAATGGCGTTATTTCATTCTTTTTCATGGCTGAGTCATATTCCATTGTATATATGTACCACATCTTCTTTATCCATCCATCTGTCGATGGACATTAGGTTGCTCCCATGTCCTGGCTGTTGTGAATAGTGCTGCTATGAACACTGGGGTGCGTGTATCTTTTTGAATTAAGAGTTTTATCTGGATATACACCCAGTAGTGGGATTGCTGGATCATATGGTAGCTCTATTTTTAGTTTTCTGAGGAACCTCCATCCTGTTCTCCATAGTGGCTGCATCAATATACATTCCCACCAACAGTGTAGGAGGGTCCCTTCTTCTCCACACCCTCTCCAGCATTTATTATTTGTAGACTTTTTACTGTTGTCCATTCTGACCAATGTGATCACACATTTTTTTCTTATCTTCGTCACCTTTCCACACACTCCCCACACCTCAGCTTTGCCGCATAAATACCCTAAGCCCTTCACCTTCAGGGAGGCCAATGTGCGATTTCTTCTCCTGTCTTCTCACCTGGATGCCTCGTGAATAAGACCTTTCTCTCTGCTGCAGACCTCAGCATCACAGCGTTTGGCTTGCTCGGTGTCAGGCAAACAAACCTGGTTCAGTAACACGTGCATTATGCTGGTTGAACCACAGGACGTGACCAAGGCTGGACCATCTTTGATGGGTGCAAAGGGCAATTCTGTGTTTCAGTGTTACCCTTGGTGACTCCCCGTCTTAAGCTGGGACCTCGTCTATCTCTTCAGTTTTCAACTGTTAATGCATCTGACTTTGGTCCATTCATAACCTGCTCTCCAAGCCAGATATTCATGCATATGTATATATTTCCTCTAAAACACACGCTCACACGTGGCTTAAACAACAGACATTATTTCTCACAGTCCTGGAGGCTGGGAGTCTGAGATCATGGCATGGGCAGAGTAGTTCCTGGCCAGGCTCTCTTCCTGGTTTACAGATGCCACCTTCTTGCTGTGTCCTCACATGACGGAGAGACAGCTCTGGTGTCTCTTCCTCTTCTTATAAGGACACTAATCCCATCACAGGAACCCCATCCTCATGACCTCATCTAACCATAATCACCTCCTAAAATCCTAACACCATCACCTCAGGAATCAGGGCTTCTGCATATGAATTTTTGGGAACACACACACATTCAGTCCATAACAACCTCCATCCATCAAGAATATTCTTTACAACAGAAAATAGTAAAAACAAAAACAACTATACACACGACAGGAAATCAGTGTGTACTGGGAAACTCTGCAGCCATTTGAAAGCATAGTAGAAGAACGTTTAATGATTTGCAAATACTCATAAATCTTAAAGGCACAGCCTAAGCCAACGCATGTTCTATAGAAACTCTCTATAAACAAGTAAAAGTAAGTAGCAGGATACACACTAAACCTTTAGTAGGGATTAGTTCTTATGAGGGATGTTTTGGTGTCTGTGTTTTCTAAATTTTCTGCACTGCATTATTTTTGAATAGGACGTAAATGTATTTTATTTCCACAATAAATCCAGGTGAGAAGACAGGAGAAGAAATCGCACATTGGCCTCCCTGAAGGTGAAGGGCTTAGGGTATTTATGCGGCAAAGCTGAGGTGTGGGGAGTGTGTGGAAAGGTGACTGAAGATAAGAAAAAAATGTGTGATCACATTGGTCAGAATGGACAACAGTAAAAAGTCTACAAATAATAAATGCTGGAGAGGGTGTGGAGAGTGGAAATTTGGAGAACGCCCTAGAGTGTGACCTAGTTCAGGAAGGAGGTCCTGGAAATATGATGGTAATTTAATAGGATGGAGTCTGACCTCCCTTCTCACCCGTGGACGTGGAAGCAGCGAGAACAGACAGAAGGACCATGGGAAGCCTGAAGTCCAGAAAATATATGAGCAGAGTGCCCTCCTGGAGTTGGCAGAAAATATCAAGTACTGCCGCTGAGAAAGAGGAGGCTCGAGTTGCATTCCCAGAAGCAGAACCTGAGATGGGCATTCTTGCGCCAATGGGTTATAGAGGGAGAGCTTGCGGGAGGAGAAAGTTAGGGAGGCCGGCCAGGACAGGGCCAAGAGCTGAGCAGGAGGTAGTGTCAGCTGGGGATGAGGCTTACCCTGACCCTGCTGGGCACTCTGGAGCATGGAATATATCTCCTATAGGACAGAGGGGCTTCTGTCCACCCCAGTCGTCTGTCGTTGGCCAGGCACTGCCTTCAACCCTAGGAAGGGAGTA